ATACTAACACATATATATGGAATTTAGAAAGATGGTAACGATAACCCTATATGCAAAACAGAAAAAGAGACACAGATGTACAGAACAGACTTTTGGACTCTGTGGGAGAAGGCGAGGGTGGGATGTTTTGAGAGAACAGCATCAAAACATGTATATTATCTATGGTGAAACAGATCACCAGCCCAGGTTGGATGCATGAGACAAGTGCTCAGGGCTGGTGCACCGGGAAGACCCAGAGGGATGGGATGGGGAGAGAGGTGGGAGGGGGGATTGGGATGGGGAACGCATGTAAATCCATGGCTGATTCATATCAATGTATGGCAAAAACCACTACAATATTGTAAAGTAATTAGCCTCCAATGAATAAAAATAAATGGATAAATAAATAAATAAATAAAGGGAGAGTGGTGAAGAAAGACCTTTCTTTTTTCCTTGTGATTACTTCTTTTTGGATGAACTTTTTAAAATATTATTTTTTAAAGTGTAGTTGATTTGCAATGTTTCTGGCATACAACAAACTGATTCAGTAATATATATATATGTGTGTGTGTATATATATATATATATATTTCAGAATCTTTTCCATTATAGGTTATTACAAGATATTGCATATGGTTCTCTGTGCTGTAAGTAGGTCCTTATTTATCTATTTTATACATAGTACTGTGTATTTATCCCCCTTTCTACTTTGATAAACATGTTTGTTTTCTATGTCTATGAGCCTACTTCTATTTTGTAAAGAAGCTCACTTGTATCATTTTTTTAGATTCCACATATAAGTGATATCACATGATATTTGTCTTTCTCTGTCTGACTTACTTCACTTAGTATAAGAATGTCTAGGTCCATCATTGTTGCTGCAAATGACAATATTTCTTTTTTTTTAAATGGCTGAGTAATCTTCTGATTACTCATAATCACCAGCATTGTTTGTTTGGAAAGTAGAATGAAAACTTTTGAAATGTAAATATATAGTCAGATGAATTTGTGATATCACAAAGAGTTAAGATACAAATCCATGGTATTTATAGAGTAATTTGTTTATTGTAGGGCTTCCCTGATAGCTCAGTTGGTAAAGAATCCGCCTGCAATGCAGGGGACCCCGGTTCAATTCCTGGGTAGGGAAGATCCACTGGAGAAGGGAAAGGCTACCCACTCCAGTGTTCTGGCCTGGAGAATTCCGTGGACTGTATAGTATAGTCCATGGGGTCACAAAGAGTCAGACATGACTAAGCGACTTTCACTTTCACTTGTTTATTGTATAGCCAGTATTCGCCTGGTGTCAGGACTTTTTGACCATAAAGTGTTTTGTTTGTTTGTTTATTTTTTGTTACGGTATATCTGCAGGATGAAAGAAAATACTGAAATTTTAAGACTAATATATTCCAGACCGTTTACTACACTGCATCCATCTTGTATGATTGTGTGTATTGCTTTTTATGGATTATAAATTACTACAATCCCTGTTTTATAAATGAGGGTATCAGATTCAGAGGAGAGGGGAGGCTCCTCGGACTCTTGTAACAATTTTCTGATACAAGGTGCCTTTAAAGCACTGCCGAAAGTAGCCACCCTCACTGAAGTAAAAACATTTCCCAAGGGGGCAAAACTAGCCAGGAGAGGAGTCAGAGAGGAAGGCGGGAGAGAGGAGGCTGAGGCTGACGACGGAGGGAGACCCGGGGAACAGAAGGAGAGAGGGTAAGAGATGCAGCAGATAATGGAATGAGAGCAATTAAAACGCTCCAGAGCATCTTCATTGCTTTTGAAAAGTAAAGGTAGATTTAGGGCCTGATACCTGGGAAGATAAAAATGGAGAGGGCTGAGAGGGTTTTTGTGTGCAGGAAGATGATACACTAACACTCCTATATATTAAATGGAGCAGGGCGAAAGTATGTTTAAACACTATTTGGATAACTTCCTTTTTTCCTGTACACACAATATTCAGTGCATATTGAAGACATTGCTTTTTCACAGTTTGGGCATATTTCAGGCTGATGGCGAAGATCCACAACTTACCTGTGGAATCAGGTGTCATAAGAAGTGTTTGGGAGATATGGGGATTCACAACTACGGTGTCATCCCTTGATCCTAAGGAAGTGAAGGTATTTCCTGAAAAATATATCCCATGTAAGTCTTGACTTGATCCCACACTAAGAACATGCCATGAAACACTGTCTCCTAAGCACATATCTAGTCCAGGCAGATTTCCATACATGTATCCATTTATGGCTGCAAGACATTTGTGACAAAGAAAAAATTGTTTAATTTATTGGTTCTTGACATCTCTTGGAACTCAACCAAGGACTCTTCATTAAGCAGTTCATTTATGTTAGATATCAAGATTACCCAAGCCAACCCCTTCTTTTTAGATTTGATGAAACTAAGGTCAGAGAGACTTGTTCAGTGTCATGAAGCTAATGAATGAAACTGTTGAGACCAGAGTCCAAGTGTCCAGATTCTAGACCATTCTTTTCTCCCGCCACACTTTCAAGTCTTCAGAAACCAACCAACCAGCCAACTCAACAAACACCCCACCTAGCCACTCCATTACTTTGGCAATAGAAAAATATGTGACTTCTCTGTATCGTATTTAGCAATAGCTAAAATAATGTATTGCACCAAAAAGGCATTGGTAAATATTTGATAAAATGTAACATAATCACCCTAGTAGGCACTATTTTTATTGGGAAATTATATTTAAAGAAAACATGAAACATATTAGCCAACCATTGAGGGGAAAATATGTTTTTCTTAAAAAATCTGTAATTCTTTAGGCCTAGTGAAATTAAACCGCTTAATACATTTATCTTTTAAGTTAAGTGTTCTCTTACAATGCATCTTGTTAGAGTCTTGGAAGTTTGGATCCTCTGTATCCACATTTTCAGGGTCTGTGGTAAATATCCTGATATTTTTATGTAAGAGATAACTTTTATTTTCATCAAATATTGTGGGAAGTAGGTAAAATTCTTTGTCTATTCCTTTCTGTGGATGAGAATAGAAAAAATAAACAGACACAAAATATGCATAGTACAGATTCAAAGTCTAGTCAAATGGTCGGCCCTCGTATAGGATTTCCCATGCAATGGGATTTGTATGTTCCTGGAAAAACTGATCAATTAACTTCCCCACTTATGGACTTTTTATACAAATGTATGAATCCCAGTGAATAGATTTATCACAGAACTAAGAAGTTAGGAGAAATCTCTACCACTGTCTTCATGTAAAGCTCTTACTATAGTGACCCCTTATATCTTAACTCCATAAAACTAAACACTATAATCACAGATGTTTATAGTGGCTTCTCTTAGAAGCTTTGTAAAAAGTAAGTTAAATAAAATGTTTTCAATTCTAGAAAGTCTATATTTTAGGGTTTATGAAGAAATATATGTATATATTTATATTTTTGGATAATGTATAAAAATTATATGTACTATAAAATTATGAAGCTATATGAATTTCATTATATAGGTGACTATAAATACAAGTCATATTTTAAAATAAAATATACATTCAATTTTATATATTTACACTGGGGATTTATAAGGCTTTTTTGTTGTTCTTTCGTTGCTAAAATGTGTCTGACTCTTCTGTGACCCCACGGACTGTTGCCCAGCAGGCTGCTCTGTCCATGGGATTTCCCAGGCAGAAATACCAGAGTGGGTTGCTATTTCCTTCTTCAGGGGATCTTCTCGACCCAGGGATCAAACCTGTGTCTCCTGTATTGCAGGAGGATTCTTTACCAACTGAGCCAGCTGGGAAGCCCTTACAAGGCTTTCCAACACATGAATTACAAAAGAACCTGGATTTTACTTCACCTGTGAGTGAAGAACAAGGGGAATTCACTCATTAAGCATTTACTGAGCACCTACTACATGCCACAGAAGGACCGGGCTTGTTACCAAAAATTTAATAAAACCCTATCTATGGTTTCAAGGCAGTTGGAGTCTAGTGGGAGAGACAGGCCAGTAAAATAAGTGCCTGGGGAAGTGCTCTAGCAGGCTTCTCAGGGGGCTCAGTGATAAAGAATCTGCCTGGGCAGGAGACATGGGTTCAATCCCGTGGTCAGGAAAGCCCCCTGGAGAAGGAAGTGGCAACCCATGCCAGTATTCTTGCCTGCAAAATCCCATGGACAGAAGAGCCTGGCGGACTCTTGGGGTCACAAAGAGTCAGACACAGCCGAAGTGACTGAGCACAAACCGACAGGAGGAGTCACGATAACCTGCAGGAGCTTGAATGAACTTTAGTTGGGGAATATTGTTTGAAGAAAATGAAGGGACCCTCAGTCTGAGTTTTTATTAAAAATTCTCTTCTTTTAGCAGGTAAAACCGTGAGGAAAGTCTGTTCCAGATGGAGAGAAGAAGGGCAAAAGCAAAGAGATGTGAACCAGCCATCCTTACTCAGGACTAACAGGCTCGCTTTGCAGTAAGACTAGAATGCAGTGTGCAGGGTGGGGGGCGGGGGGAGCATGGATCTGGAAGGATCCACGGGGTCTGATATGTTGTCTTCTGAGCCAGCAGACCGTAGGGTGATTTTTAGGGTTGAGAGTGCTACAATCTGATTAGAAAGGGAGGAATGTGGAGCTATGCTGAAGCAGAATGGAAGCGGGGATAGGCGTTAGGAGGCTACAGGAATTCAGAAAGAGATGCTGCTGCCTCAGATAAGGCAGTGGGATCAGAGAGCCGGTGACCAACGCTGGAGGTGAGAAACAAGGAGCTGTTGATCGAAGTCCTGGGCTTGCTGGCGTCCTTCTCTAAGACACAGGACAGGAAAGAGAGGTGGCTCAGAGCGGGGTGGGACAGGCAGTGGCTGCCTAGGGGAGATGAAGAGGTAAAACTGTCAGGTGGGGACTTCCCTGGTGCTCCAGTGGTTGGTACTTTGCCTTCCGACACAGGAGGTGTGCTTCGGATCTTTGGTAGGGGAGCTCACATCCCACATGCCTCGTGGCCAAAACACAAAACAAGAAACCAGAAGCCATACTGCAGCGAATTCAATAAAGACTTTAAAAGTGGTCCACATCAAAAAAAATCTTGGAAAAGTAAAAGAGCAGTCCAGCAGAATTAAAGGTGTCTGAAACATGCCAGGGTGGATATTCACTGGCACGAGAAGACACAGGCCTGAAGCTGAGGAAAGAGGGAAACCGAGAGACACGGGCACACCGAAGCGGGAGGCGCTCTCTGCACACTGCCTTTCCCTGGAGACCTGCTTCAGGCAGCCTCTCACCACGCACCCGGGACACAGGTCCCATCACCTAACCTGTTGGCCGTCCTCTCCAAGACTTCCATTTCTGCACACGAGAAGAGGCCCTATGAGGCCGCTGTTGATGCCTCTTTTAAAATTCACTGAGGAGAAGTATGACCAGGTCAGACAGTTGGGGTCTGTGGAAGTGGGTCCCACATCTATCGGAACTTCCCATGTATAAACGAATGTTGCCCCAGGATTTACATACGAGGAGGGCGACGGGGCTCCTAGTAAGAAAGAAACATTTGTGAAATAGGACCCAGGACCCAAAGTACCCTAGTCTAGCCTGGGCGATCTCTGAGATCAAGGACTGTGTCCTGCTCACACTGTGGTACTTTGGGCCGAAGGACGCCCTCTGCCACCGTAAGTACACAGATCTGTGATGATGTGGAAAGTAGGCTGCCCAAGGATTTTAGGAGGAGTCTGATTTTCTTGTGGACACTGTACTGCTGTCTGCCTTGCTTGCACCTGCGTTGGGCTGTGGTACTTGCCTCCTCCCGGCGTTCTGTAGAAGGAGCCCTCATTGTTCTTGTTGTAACGCAGTCCATGGGGATGAATGCTGAGCGGCACGGAAGCGTTGTTGTAGAAAGTGACCTGGATGATCTGCCCCACTTCTGCCTTAATGACAGGGCCTGGAAACCAACAGAGGTAGCAGTTGTCCTTGGTGTTCACAAATGTCATTTTCACGTTGTGTTACTTGGGTGAGGTTCTTCTAGGAACAAATTAAAGGGATGATGCCATGAACCAGAAATGCATCCAGTGAAAAGTCTAGGTGATGCAGGATCTTAGAAACGCACACGGATTTCCAGGGACCAAAAAAAGTGTAGTTTCAGACTGGGTGAATCCCGCCAGACTCCTCTGTCCATGGGACTCTCCAGGCAAGAATATGGGAGTAGGTTGCCATTTCCTTCTCCAGGGGATCTTACCAAACTAGGGACTGATACTGGTCTCCTGCATTGCAGGCAGGCTCTTATCCATTTGAACCACCAGGGAATCCCAAAAAACTGTGAGTTGGTGAATACTCTTTTGATGGCACAGAATATGTATAAATTGTGTTTATAACCCCACAAGCGATGAAATAATTTTACCAAGGAGTCCAAGGTGTGTTGCTTTTGCTTTCTGGGTTTGGAAGGAAGCATCTGTGTATTCAAAGTAAACTAGTTTTTTGTAAGTTCCTCCGATTCTGGTTGGGCCTTGTTCAAAATAGAAGCGGGATTCACTGTGCAGAGAAAGTAAAAACAGAGAACTTTAAAATTTACAATGACCATGTGAAAAGAAAGCAAGAACCTGCCTGCATCTGTTTTAAGGTGCTTGTAAGCTAGTACTTGTAATCTATTTGTGGAAATCTCAGCAGTGGCTACAGGACAGGCAAAGGTGTTTTTGTTCCAATCTCAAAAAAGGACAATGCCAAAGAATGTTCAAACTACCATACAATTGTACTCATTCCACATGCTAGCAAGGTTATGCTCAAAATCCTTTTTGTGACGATTTTAGTGAAGAGGAACTAAAGAGCCCCTTGATGAGGGTGAAAGAGGAGAGTGAAAAAGCTGGCTTAAAACTCAACATTCAAAAACTAAGATAATGGCATCACTTCACGGCAAAAGAAGGGGGAAAAATGGAAGCAGTGACAGATTTTCTTTTCTTGGGCTCCCAGATCACTATGGATGGCGACTGCAGCCATGAAATTAAAAGACGCTTGCTCCTTGGAAAGAAAGCTATGACACACCTAGACAGCACATTAAAAAGCAGAGACATTGCTTTGTTGACAAAGGTCCATCTAGTCAAAGCTATGGTTTTTCCAGTAGTCATATATGGATGTGAGAGTTGGACTAAAGAAGGCTGAGAACAAAAGAATTGATGCTTTCGAATCAAGGTGTTTGAAAGACTTTTTAGAGCTTTGCGGCTCAACTGGTAAAGAATCTGCCTGCAATGTGGGAGACCTGGGTTTGATCCCTGGGTTGGGAAGATCCCTTGGAGAAGGGAAAGGCTACCTACTCCAGTATTCTGGCCTGGAGAATTCCATGAACTACAATCCATGGGGTCGCAAAGAGTCAGACATGACTAAGTGACTTTCACTTTCACTTTTGGACTGGAAGGAGATCAAACCTATCAGTCCTAAAGGAAATCAACCCTGAATATTCATTGGAAGGACTGATGCTGAAGCTGAAACTCCAATACTTTGGCCACCTGATGCGAAGAACTGACTCATTGGAAATGACCCTGATGCTGGGAAAGATTGAAGGCAGGAGGAGAAGGGGACGACAGAGGATGAGATGGTTGGATGGCATCACCGGCTCGATGGACCTTAATTTTAGCAAACTCTTGGGAGACAATGAAGGACTGAGGAGCCTGGTGCACTGCAGTCCATGTATTGCAAAGAGTCAGACATGACAGAGGCGGAACAATAGCAATGTATTTATAAAAATAATGCATGCTCATTGTAGAGAATTTGGAAAATAAAAAAATATATATAACAAAAAATTTAAGATCCTCATAATTCCACCATCTCTATATAATCACTATCAACATTTTCAGTCTTTTGTCTGTATATGTATACAAGTCTCTGTCTGTAGACTACCTATTAGTTTATCTATACATTTTTCTTTTGGAATAAAATTTTAAAAACATTAAGTCTGATTTTTTTTTAAAGGCAGACAGTAATAAACATTGCTTTTAAAACAACTGTGTTGAGATGCTAGAGCACTGAGATGAGCGATGTCATTCTTAGCTTTTTAATTCTGTTGTGATAACATAAAATGAGGACAAGTGTTTCCTGGGAGGAAATAATGGCTTGCAATGCTGAGACAGCATCAAATTTCATAACCAGGAGAATCATGTGAGCTGAAAGAATCTATTAATTCATACTTATTTTAGTCAATATAAAATGAAAGTTGAATCTAATTTTTGTTCTAAGCCCTGATAAGCTTCTCATAATTAACACACAATTTCCATTACACAGATTGAATAATTTGTTGATGAGCTTTAAAGTAAGAAAAGAAAATATTCATTTGATAGAACATGCTCAGTTTTCTTAAATTTTCTATGAGTAAATTAAAAAAATAAATACTATGGGGAATATTACTTTCTGGTGGTTATAGAACTTGATATTTTCTGACATAAAACTTTCATTCAATAGACCAAAAGAATTACAACCCCTGTAATCTTTAAGTTGGTAAATATATTTAGCAGTCAGACTATAGAAAAACTTTTTGTGCACTTCCAAATGCTGATGTCACAGTAATGTATTTTAGTCTTAGTTTTTGGTTATCAAAGAAATAATTGGTATTCTTAGGTGTTATTGAGTAAATATATATATATAAATAAAAAATATATATTGAGTAAATATATATGAGTAAACATATATATATATATAAACATATATATGTTATTGAGTAAATATACATATATATATATTGAGTAAATATATATATACTCAATATACATATATTGAGTAAATAAATATATATATATATAAAATATGATTTAAGGATGACACAAGAAACAATTGACTATACCCTCAGATCTTAGCAGGAAAGTACAAATTACACATGAGGAATATTTTTGAATTTTTGTAAAATTGTTATTGACAACATAATTAACTATGTTTTTAAATATCTCACAATTATAAACAAATCCATTTTAAAATTTAATGCCAAGAAAAAGATGAGAAGTATGTTTTTCTTTGCAGTGGCTTCCAAGGCATTTAGAGAAAAATTTTGTGTAGCAACGATCCTTCGGCTGAATATTTTCCAATTATTGTTATAATTATTTTCCCATCTTTATTTTATCAGTATCTTTTTATTATAAAATGCCTAAGCCCTTGTAGGAATAGCTAGGTTATGAAAAAGTCCAATTATCTTTATTTAACCATGAATATTTTAATCACTGAATCATTACCTTCCAGCCTCTGTTAAACTATTTCCACTGAAGAAATCTATGCCAGATGGTGCGTAGTCCCAGAAAATTTCTCTGGCAGCAACGAAATAACGAACAACGTGTGTCCCCTTACCATCTGCTGACGATTTTTGGCAATCCCTTACATTAAAGAAAGCCTGCATAGTCTCTGAAAAATAGTAAATCCAAGTAGAGAATGTGATGAAAACATTAAAACATTTTTCTTAGTCCGTATATATATATTTTAAAATTGTAGCAAACAGCATTGCAACTTCCCTTTCTTTTGAGAAATTTGAGGCCTTTTATTTATGGAATCTGTTAAAATCCTGAAATGTATGAAGCAAATATAAGACTCAGGATGCCAAAGTGAATGTTGAGGAATGTATATCAGTGGAGATTAATAACCAGCGCTGGACCAACTCCTGAGGAATGTGGTACCTGCCTACTGAGAGGAATTTGAGTCTGTTTAATCAAAAGTGTCTTCCCTTATGGTTCTGAAAGTGTTACCATTAATTACTAGATTAACTAATTGGCAGGCAGGAAGAAAATCAAGGCAGGTATGTTTCCATGAGAGGATCAGTCCCGTGTTTTGATTTAAGAGCAACACTGGTGGGAGTGTAAATTCATACAGACTTTTCGGAAGGTGATTAGGCAGCCTTTGTTAAAATTAAGAACCCTTCCATTAAAAACTTTCGCTTCTTTCGGTTAGGCAAGACAAAAATTTGCACAGACATAAAAAGATACAAATAAACAGTGGCTAGCTATAACACTGTTAGTGACTTAAATGGGAAGGAAATCCAAAAAAAGGGGGATATACATATATGTACATGTATATCTGAATCACTTTGCTGTACAGAAAAAACTAACAACATTGTGAATAAACTATACTTTAAAAATCATAAAAATAAAACAAACAATAAAGGAGTAGCTTTATTTGGGGAATGTCATGGAAGAGATTCTTGCCTGGAGAATTCCATGGACATATTCTTGCCTGAAGAATTCCATGGACAGAGGGACTTAGTGGGCTACGGTCCACGGGGTCGCAGAGAGTCGGACACGACTGAGTGACTAACACACACAAACACACACAGTGAACCGAGAAAGTGAAAGCAATTGAGATGTCTATCAATAGCTGAATGGTTAAATAAATCAAGCTACGTCTCAAACAAACACAGAAAACTATACAGCTATTTAGAAAAGCAGGCTAGACACACATATGGATACCAAGTGGTATCCTGCTTACCAAGGGGAAGCAGGGGGAGGTATTGGAAGATTGGGGTTACATATATCCGCTATTGATACTTTGCATAAAATAGATAACTAATGAGAACCTCCTGTCGGGCGCGGGGAACGCTCCTCAGTGCCCTGGGTGACCTCAATGGGCAGGGGATCCAAAAAAGAGGGGATATGTGTCTCTGCACCTGTGTAGCTGAATCACTTAGCTGTAAGTAGAAGTTACACCGCATTGTAAAGCAACTATATGATAAAAACTTGAAAAATAAAACTTAAAAAATATAAGAGTAGCTTAGAAGTGTAGGGAATGTCATGGAGAAGATTTCAACTTATATGGATGAGTGAAGAAAGCAAGCAGCAGAAGATAGAAAAACCTATTATATACAAATAATAACCTACTTTTTTAAAGCTAATAGTTAAATAAAACCTATTATATGGGGAGTGATCTACTTATTTAAAACAGTACCTGTGCATTTTTATTTCTAAGTTTTCATGTATGTTGTATGAAAATGCATAGTAAACAGCTTTGCGAGGATTCACAAATACACAATGGTGTAAACACAAATGGCTTACAGGGATTATTCACTGGAGAGGGAACTGGGATGGGGGTGGGGTAAGGTTGGACTAATGGCACAGTCTTAAACTATTCCTCCAAAGATGAATGCTAAATCTGATTTTCGTGTGTGTGTGTGCGCGTGCGCGTGCGCTAATTTTGGTGGTGTCAGCACATTCCTGTGGCCCAATTTGAAGCGACCACAAGTTTATCACCTGACTTATTTAATTCTCAACTCTCTGGAGCTCCTAAGAGCTGGCTCTCATATACCACACTAGACTTTCACTCTTTCTGCCTGCTGCCTTCACCAAATTCTCCCCTCCCTCCACTCCTTCCTCTTTGCTTTCTTCCTTTCTTTCCAGCAAGTCTATTCATGCATTCTTACAATTGCTAAAAAAAAACCCAAACAAACCAAGAAAACAAAAACAAAGAGACAAAAAAAACCACCCCTAACTACACCATGGGGAGAGAGACACAGGGAAGTCTATGTCGTCCACTAGCCAGGCTTTTCTGATTGTGTCCAGGGTTGACACTATCTTTCCTGCAGAGTTGAAGAGGAAAGACCTGTCTTAAGGTCTTGAAGACCCGTCCTTATAGATGGGCAACATCTACAAATGAGGTCAAGAGGAGGAGTGGGTCTGGTGTACATTTTAACCTTTAAAACATATTTTAAGACAATATTCCTTTCCAAGTGAGAACTCTTGCATTAATATCATTAGATTTTGTCCTTGAGTTACAATAGCCGTGCGTGGGTCTCCTTTATCTCACAGCCCTCAGAGGGAGGGACACAGCACACAGGAAATCCCAATAAGTGCGTGTGCTTTAGTCGTTTAAATAGCTAATTGAAGTGTGATGCTAACCAAAGTATGGGACTTAGAAATAAGAAAGGTTTTGATCAGAGAAGTAAATCCCATTTTTTCTAAAAAACGGAGATAAGTTAAATTCTTCAGTTCAAGTAACAACTGTGTTTTCTGACTGAAAAATCAAACAAAACATTTACATGATTGCAAGGATAGTTTAGTCAGATTTAAGACTAGAGAAGATCAGTAATTTCACAAGGGGCCTTTCTATCATTAAACACGAAGGCTGACTGAAGAGGGAAGTAAACCAGGAGGCCATTACTGGTACCGGTTCAGAATTTGCACAACACTTGGGCCTGTATAATTTCTGACTCTCACGGGCTTTTGGGTTAGTGTTTCAACCTCTTGGAACTTGTCTTCTCCATTTAAAAAAGAATAACTACATGTGCTCTGTCAGACACTCAAGGCTCTTGTAAGGCTCACTGGCTAATAAACACATACTTTTTTTGGTAAAAACAGCAACAAAAATAATCCCTGTATGACTGAAAGGGTTTATTACCATAAAGTTGAAAGTGTCAGAGACCTGAGTTCTGGTTCTGACTGTGTTACTGACTTTCCAAAAGGCAATCCTGTCACCTGCCTACTGGTGACATCTTTCCCCATTTGCAAGTCGAGGCTGCCATTACTGGTACCGGTTCAGAATTTGCACAACACTTGGGCCTGTATAATTTCTGACTCTCACGGGCTTTTGGGTTAGTGTTTCAACCTCTTGGAACTTGTCTTCTCCATTTAAAAAAGAAGAATAACTACATGTGCTCTGTCAGACACTCAAGGCTCTTGTAAGGCTCACTGGCTAATAAACATACTTTTTTTGGTAAAAACAGCAACAAAAATAATCCCTGTATGACTGAAAGGGTTTATTACCATAAAGTTGAAAGTGTCAGAGACCTGAGTTCTGGTTCTGACTGTGTTACTGACTTTCCAAAAGGCAATCCTGTCACCTGCCTACTGGTGACATCTTTCCCCATTTGCAAGTCGAGGCGTTTGTTATGGGTCATTGAGAGTCCCCTGACGCTGTATTAAGTAAAAGGAATGAACCCCTACCATGTATCCGACAGTCCAGCAGCCACTCTCCAACACCCTTGGCCACCATGAGGGCGTCGCGCATGGAGGCAGGGAAGACGGTAATGGTATCCCTTCTGTGATGCTGAGATATCAGAGTCTGTCCGTGGAAGTAGATGGGGTGTATATCCAACAGGCTGCCCATGCTGATTAAATGCCACGTGACCCTGTCTTCTGCACACATGGTGAGACCAGGTAGATTTCCATACAAGTATCCGTTTATTGCTGAAAGCAGATGTAAATTAACCCATCGAGCAAGCATGTCACATCAAGGCCACATGGCATATAGCCTATACATTTCCTTATCACGTCAATCTGGTAGTGCCAGCATTGTTCTCACGCATAATCTGCAACAGGACTTGGTTCGTTTTCCCCCAAAAGGAGGCTATAAACATTACCTCTGACTAAAGCTGAGGGCAACACGCACTTAAAGGCAAGAGGAAGAAAGCTAGGCTGCACGGTAGGAAGCAGTGAAAAGGGGAGAAGAATAGAAAGAAGCCGAGTCTGTGGAAGAAGGAAATAGAGATGAGGGTGACTGGGATGGCAAGGGCACCTTTTCTGAAAAGTTCTACATCGAAACACATTCCCATGAAAGAGCTGCTCAGTTAAGTNACTGGGATGGCAAGGGCACCTTTTCTGAAAAGTTCTACATCGAAACACATTCCCATGAAAGAGCTGCTCAGTTAAGTCTTTGTTCTTTCATAATATATTATTACCCTAAAATCACATATTTGGGGACTTCCCTGGCGGGCCTGTGGTTAAGGATCCAGCTTGCGAGGTAGGCAACATGGGTTTGGTCCCTGGTCCGAAACTAAGATCCCACAGGCCGTGAAGCAACCAAACGCTGAGGCCACGGCTACTGAGTCCCGTGCACCACAACATAAGACCCCACAGGCCGCGGCTCAGGTCTGACACAGCCAAACGAACGTTTCAAAAATTGCAGCTCTCTATTGTCACCATCCATCTTTATCAATGTCAGATGTTAGGAAAACAATGCATCTATCTAATGCCACTTGCTATGACACCTTGGAAACTGGCAGGATTTTCTCGATGTCTTCATAGCAACACTGGGCTTCCCTGATAGCTCAGGTGGTAAGGAATCCGCCTGCAATGTGGGAGACCCCGGCTGGATGCCTGGGTTGGGAAGATCCGCTGGAGAAGGGATAGGCTGCCCACTCCAGTATTCTTGGGCTTCCTTTGTGGCTCAGTGGGTAAAGAAACCGCCCACAATGGAGGAGACTTGGGTTTGATCCCTGGGTTGGGAAGATTCCCTGGAGCAGGGAAAGGCTACCCACTCCAGTGTTCTGGCCTGGAGAATTCCATGGACTGGTATAGTCCATGGGGTCAGAAAGAGTCTGACACGTCTGAGCGACTTTCACGTCCACTTTCTTTCACAGCAAAAACGGCATGTTCAGTGTCTGACTCTTTGCAACCCCGTGAAACATAGCCCGCCAGACCGAGAATGAAGAACTGGGAAACAGAAACTCATCGAAGCAAACTGAAATGAAAGGAAACCACAAAATAAAGTCATAGAAGTTAGAACTATAGGATATAAGGAATGAGAAATTTCTTCATAATCTTACAGCGCATGATGTTGCTCTCCTTGAAGTCGGGATCATTAGCATCAACTTGACCAGCTTCAGTGTACATAAGAATGTTGTCATCGATATACCAGCTACGGTTTTCATCAGTTATAGAAAACACCAGAATGAAATACTCATCGATGTATTTTTCCATATCTCCATCCAGGGTTCCTAAAACAAAAAGAACGACAAAACTTACTCTGCGAAAATTATTTTTGCTATGAAATAAACTAGTGATTCTGATTCTGATATTCAAAATAGGAAAGGAAAACCTTTCACCTCCATAGACAGAACCCTGAGGAGCTAAGAATGCAAGGAACAGGCAGTTTCTCTTCTCCCTATTTCCTCCACCTGTGGGCTCAACGCTTCTCTGTAGGACAAAGGTGGCAGAATTCTGTGTGAGGGTGACTCGGATGGAGATTCCCGGGTTTGACTACCGTCTACTGTCCAACCTGCCCCATTGGACTAGAGTGGAGACTTTAGACTCAAGATCGCCATCTGGTGCTCAGAGGCCAAATGGCAACGTTGCTTTTCTGACTGGAGAATCGAGGTCAAGACAGGAAGAGTTTGCTAGCAAAATTCCACTAGGAGCCTGAGGGGGACCCCACACATCCTAACCGGCTCTATTTGCTACAGTGAGATTTTTTAAATGTTACCTCTTTTACAAGTCAGAATGGGTCCGAGAAGTCCCGAAGACACATCTTTTAGGGTGTCCACGTGGGAGTGGTACATCCGCGTCACGCAATTGCTGTCATTGGGGCCAGGTCCCTGGTTTTCTTCTACAAACCACACGTAAGTGTATTCTGCCCCTGGCTGTAGACGGTCATCTTCATTTTGCAGGCCCGTAGTGTTGTCTGGATAGAGAGCACCTGGAAAACGGAACTTGCACTGTGGTCAAAGTAATCAATGGATAACATTTTTCTTAATGTGACTCACGCTTTCTGCATCAAGCCATGAAAGTATGTTAATCTGTACTTTTAGAAAGTGTTTCCCCCTTCCTGCCTCCTGCCTCCTGCCTCCCTAGACTCCCCTTAGCTGGTTTCTACCTGGATGCCCAGCTTGGCCAGCTTCCAGACTTAAATTGGAATGAGTCGGGCAGCGTATTAATGGACTATCATCACCTTTATCGATAGATGCCACAGATATTCATTGTGCACCTACCATCTGCATGGGTCTTGGATATGGAGAGCTCCTGACTTGCACTCTGTTATCGTCTTCACTGCAAGTCAGATTTGGGAATGAGGGCATCAGGAGCATCCAAGCTACTGCTGTAGCTTGGACTCAGCCGAGTCCACCTCTTTGCCACCCCATGGATGGCAGCCCGCCAGGCTCCTCTGTCCATGGGACTTTTCAGGCAAGAATACTGGAGTGGGTTGCCATTTCCTCCTCCAGGGGATCTTCCTGACCCAGGGATCCAACCCCAGCGATCAAGGTCTCCTGCTTGGCAGGCAGATTCGGCACCACTGAGCTGCCTGGGAAGCCCCACGACAGGGCTTTACCTACACTACATCTTCCAGAGGGCATCAAGGACATGCACGCTACTGTACACACCGCTGTATTGAAAATGGGTCACCGACAAGGACGTCCTGAGCAGCACGGAGGCCTCTGCTCAACATTATGTGGCAGCCTGGATGGGAGGGGACTTTAGGGCAGGATGGGATCATGTACACATATGGCTGAGTCCTTTCGCTGTTCACCTAAGACTATCACAACACGTTAACCGGCTATGCCCCAACACAAAATAAAAAGTTTTTAAAAAAGAAAATAGAGCATCTATGTTACCTACAAGCTGCCCGCTGATGTCAGGAAGTGGTCTTCAGCATGGCTGACATTGCTCTGAGCTCCTACCTTTGTTCTGAATCTGGGGCCTTGCCCTCTTCTGCTTTCTTCTTATCCTAGAATTTTGCCTCAGATCTCCACCATTTGAGGCTGGAATCTAATAACTATGGATATCATCTCCTCATTCAATAGGAGACTTTGAAGCGTGACCAACCTCTCATCCTTCATCATCTTTTGAGACCAGCCTGCCCCATATAGAACACAAAACTCTATTTTGTGCTAGCATTCTCTTCTGTTCCTTTTCCCAACACCATCAAGCAGTTGTGAGTGTGGATGTTTAGGAGAGAAGATACTGTCTGGAAAATAGTGACTTCACCTGACACTGATGTTTTCTAAGAGGCTAACCCTCATTCACTAGAAAATGAGATGACAGGACATGGATATGAAATGGCAGGACAACATTTCTGCCAACATAACACTTAGCTCATGAGTGTCTCCTACCCTCCAAACTTATGTATTTATTTATTTACAAGAGAGAAAGTGTGTTTTCTTTCCCAGAAGTTGAATGGGGGAGGGGGATTGTCATTCATTTATTACAAATTAGAAATTGAAGAAGATCAACCTAGGATATAAAAATTAGAGACATCTGAAGTAAAAGTCTGTATTCACCCAAACTACTCCTTTAGTTGATGATTGCCTTGCTTTTCCTGAGGTTTTGGTTTGTACTCTTCATTAACAAAAACTCAGGAACCTAAGGAGCAGGAACTCACTTACCTTCATTATCCTTAGTGTAGCTGAGTCCATGAGGATGGAAACTATATATTCTGGAAGCATTATTTTTCACATGTACATGAATGAGGTCTCCAGTCTCTGCTTTTATGACTGGACCTAAAAATCCCAACCAGGATGGTTTTTCAATGGTGGTTTGAAATGTATCATCCGTGTACCCAAAATACAAAGCCTTTTTATAAACAGATCCTATCCTATCTTGGCTTGGTTGGAGATATGTTTTGGATTGAAACTCTCTGTAAACAAACAAGCAAGCAAGAACGTTAACAAATTTTGACTGAAAAGAAACCAACGTCAAATCAACTGAAACTAGAAGTAAGAATCTTTGCAGTCTAATTTCGCAGAGAAAACCCAGACACTGGTGAAAATCTAGAATGAGTCAGAAACAATACAATAGGCAAGGAAAAGACTGGAAAGTCTGGTGAAGAGATGAAATGCAAAGGTATCAAGTCATATGCATGGCATTTCGGTTCAAATGACTTAGAAATTCTTTGTACTGAACCATGTATGGAAGGTTTCTAACCCTACTTCAGGGTTACTTTAGCTCTCAAACATTAGATCAATGCTTACAATTTAAGATTCTTTACACATTTCAAGGATTCAAGGATTTGTTGGTAGAATTGGGGGCATTTTGGTGGACAAACACAGTGAATCAGAACCCCACATATAACCTTTGGATTTCTTCGTCCCAATCATCTGAACAGAAAAATCAAGAAGAGAGCTGCAGTGTTTACAATCTCTGCCATAGACTCCATGCCAGAAGGAAAAGCATTGTTTTAGCTAGAGTACCATTCATACTGATCCCTGATGCCGGAAAGACTGAAGGAAAAAGGAGAAGAGGGCGTCAGAGGATGAGACAGTTGGATGGCACCACCAATGCAATGGACATGAACTTGGGCCAGCTTCGGGAGGTGACGACGGACAGAGAGGCCTGGTGTGCTGCCATCTATGGGGTCACAAAGAGTCAAACGCAACTGAACAACCACAACAACCACCTATACAAAATCGATGATAAATGCAGGGTTAGAGATGACCCCTGAAATATGTATCGTGAAGGCAGGAGTGGCAGTAATCCCCGGAAGGAGCAATTTCTGATTTATGTTAATAGCTGGCTTCCGTGTTATGCTTATACTAAAAAACTCGAAGGAAGCAGTTCTAATAGCAAAATGTGCCCTTAAAGAGTCTACCATGGAAACTTCTTCAGCAACGTTTTATCAGTGAATAACAATGACCAACATTTGCATTTGATAGCAAATTTTCAATACGAAGGTATTACTTACTGATCGTCTGAAAAAGGCCTTCCATTGAGCATGTTTTTACCAGTAGGAGCATAGTTCCAAGTAGTTTCTTCAATGCCTATGTAATAGTACCTATCTATTGTCCAAGCTGGAGAACTAATAAAAACCAGATAGGTCAGTGAAAAAAGGATCTTCATTTTCAAACCTTGCACCTGGAGAGGCTAACTGCATTGTATTTCCCTTCCTTTTATAATCCACACATCTTCCTTTATTTGTGTTCGTTTACATAAGTCAGGGTTGCATAAGAGCTCATCAAATGCTTCATCTGCATGTTTGTCATTTCCGTTCCAAATGCATTTAGTTTTCACTAGTCAGCTCAGGTGAAATGTTGCGCAACACATAGAGGATGCTGGTTCTTGACACAGTACACCTTAGCAGTTAAGAGCTTGCTTGAATTACTGAATAGATGGGCTACACAGATTACTCATCAGCCCCTTGAGACTGTTATCTATTCCGCATGAGAGGAATCACCTCCAGTTTAGTCTAGTCTACAGATATCACGCTCTTTCTCAATTTACTGTGTTACCAAATCAGCTTTATTTGCCCAATGGGCAGCAAGCCAAAGGTGGAGATGCCAAGGTTTGTGGCAAAGAAAAGATCCTTACACAGAGAGCAGACCAAGTCTCACATGTGTCTCCCCAGAGCTGGGTGATCCATGAGTTAGAGAAGCAGAGTGGTGGGGGGCATGGGAAAGGTGAGCGGAGGTGAGGAGACGGTGAACTAACCGCTGCTACGCACAGGTGCACGTGAGCGTGCTTCCTCGGGGGACACGCGTTCTGAACAGGTGGCATCAGCACCTTCTGAGGGGGCGGTTTCCGGCCCCCTGATCTCGGAAGGTCCCCCGCCAGATACGAGAGGAGGCTCAGCGGTGTCTGTGGGCTTGAGCTGGGTAAGGGGCGGCTCTGAGCTCCTGGAACGCAGCTGGAGCACACGCACTGCGGTGCCTGTGTTGGAGGCTCTATCCACAGCAGGTGGGGAGGGGCGTCTTGTTTTTGTTGATTAATTTATTTACTTTTGGCTGTGCTGGGTCTTTGCTGCACATGGGCCTCTCATCACAGTGGCTTTTCTTGCTGAGGAATGCAGGCTCCATAGTTGTGTTCCTTGGGCTTAGCTGTCCCTGGTATGTGGGATCTTCCTGGCCCATTGTCCTGCACATTGACAGGTAGATTTTTAACCACTGGACCACAGGGAAGCCCCTTCATTTATTTTTTAATAACACACAAGAGCAAAGTATCTTTTTCTGGCTGTTTATACAGATAAATATGCAAACTTAAGGACAAAGCAAACTAAATACAGCTCTGAAAGGAAAAGAGAGGATTATTATATTAAAAATGTTTTTTTTTAATGAGAAGAATACATTTCCATATTACTTGATTTTAAAAATCAACAAAATACTTGCAATTTTTAATCCTTTTTTCATTGAAAAATAATGAGAATATAAGTATCTTCCTTGTAAATGACAATTACTAAATTCTACAAAGGCTAAGACATCTAGGCTGTCATATTACTAAGTTTTTCACATTTGTGAATGCTCTGGTTAGCTTGAAGAGGAAGCTAGGGAAACAGACCGCTGCTTTGGGAGATTTATATGTCACCAGCAGGTTCTGGAAGAAACTCAGAAAAGCTAGGCCTGGAGGGACCATCAGTCCCAGGAGAGCAAGCAGCCTTGGGGAAGCAGCTGAACAGGGTTGGGGGAGGACCCAGGTCATGTGTGATGGGTTTTGTGGAAGAGGAGCTAAGGATGGGCTCTCTGGGCTCAGTAAGGAGATCTGGGTTGGAGCAGTTGGATGCTAGAGCCACTCACTTCCCTCTATGTGTGGAAAAACCTTACAACCTTCCCTGCCACTGCGTCTTAGACTCGCTGCTGTAGAAGGGTCCACCCATCAGACAGGGGGCAAGATGCCTTAAAAGGACTTCCAGATGTTCCTTTATCTTCTGTAATGTCTTTTCTCTTTCTTTTAGGCACATTAATTTTAGTCTGCAGTGTAGATAATAGAAGAGCTACTGAGCTGGCACATTTTTCCCCTCAGTAAGTCACCCCAGTAAGTCCAAAGACAGCCACTGTATTCACTTCAAACAGATCTATCTCCAGTTTCCACTCTGCCATTCACTAGATGTGTGATTGGGAATGAGTTGCATAATATTTCTGAACTCCCATCCCTTCCTACTTGTAATATGAAGTTTATAATAATTAAACTTCAGGGCTCCTCTTCCAGCCTGACACACGGTACCCATTCAAAGAAAGTTAGCATGCTCCCCTGAGACAATGAAAATGGTGTTAGTAAATGTCCATTGTTCCTTTGTTTTCTTCTCAACAAATGACTAGAACTGACTTCTATTTGGGGAGTTGGGGTGGGGAACACTTTGTCTTGGGTAATATTATATTTTATGGCTCATCTGTAGGGAAATTGGGCTTCCCAGGTGGTGCTAGTAGCAAAGAACCCGCCTGCCAATTCAGCAGACATAAGAGACGCAGGTTCAGACCCTGGGTGGGGAAGATCCCCTGGAGGTGAGCATGGCAACCCACTCCAGAATTCTTGCCTGGAGAATCCCATGGACTGAGGAGCCTGGCCGGCTACAGTCCCCAGGGTCACAAAGAGCTGGACCCGACTGAAGTGACTTAGCACACACGCGCCGATAGACAAACTATGTTTGCAGTCCTGTCCTTCTCTTCCTGCTTAGCCCTCAGTAAGTCACTTGTTTGGTACAGCAGGATTTGATGTTGGTCATCATTATTTGGCTATATTCTTGGTTGGTAGCCCAGGAACATAATGTGACTGATTTAGAGAAGCTTCACTGAATTTTGTCCCAAGAAGTGAGCACAAACACTTTGGACAGAATTTGAATTCTCCTCTGGTTTTCTTCTTTCATAGCTGAAAATAAGTTAAAGAAATAAACTAAGCACAGAAAACTCTGCATAAAGACCCAGTGATAATGGAACTTTATGTTTGTAAAAAGCTTTACAATATTTAAAATACCTTACAGAAAACAAAATTATCCAATGTGATCTGCAAAACACTGTCCCCTAACTTCCCCCCCACCTCATACTTGTTTCACAGTTGAGGTATGGACTGCTCAAAAGGCCAGGTAAGTAGCTACAGGATGTAAATTCCCCAGTTATGGAGCCAGGATTCAAATATAAACCACTGGACTCCAAGTCAAATGTTTCTTTCAAGTGACCTTACTTGTCCCCACAATTCAGCTCAGTTGGTAAGGAATCTGCCTGCAATGCAGAAGACTCCAGCCCAATTCCTGGGTTGGGAAGATCTGCTGGAGAAGGGATAGGCTACCCACACCAGTATTCTTGGGCTTCCCTTGCAGCTCAGCTAGTAAAGAATATGCCTGCAATGCGGGAGACCTGGGTTCAATCCCTGGGTTGGATCTCCTGGAGAAGGGAAAGGCTACCCACTCCAATATTCTGCCCTGGAGAATTCCCTGGACTATTTAAGTCCATGGGGTCTCAAAGAGTCTGGCATGACTGAGCAACTTTCACTTTCACATACTTCTATATTATTAATATCAACAAATGTTAAGTTTTGCTCAGAATGTATGATGCTAACCATATCTTCCAACAAGGCAAACCAATGGAATATAAATGGTGTGGGGGCAAGATGAGGAGTTTAAAAGCAAGAGGAACGTGCCTGCAACTTTCATACCCATTTCTATTTTTTCTATTATATTTACCAATAAACATTGTTCGTTGAAATGGCCATCAGATTTTCCTTAGCTGCCTTCTAAACACTGGTTCTAATTGTGTAGGCCAATCCGGAAAGGGAAGTTTACTAAGCTGTTTTTCTAGAGGAGGAAACTGAAACTTGAGTGCTTTAAACAACTTGCCAAAGCAAATAGGTTTTGGGTTAGCGAAAAAGCTCATTTGGGTTTTTCCATAAGATGTTTCTGAACAAACTTTTTGGCCAACTCGATATTAAAGCTAGAATTTAAATGAAGGCCTTAAAGGCTGGTGGATGGTCTTACTACTAAATGTTCTGCCTTGTAATCTAGATTACTCTGTGGCAAACTACCAACTAGGATATTGATATTAGAGGAAATTCAATAAGTAGAAGAGCTAGGAGCTGGGACAAATGGGTGCACTTGAGATAAAGCCCTGTGTCCTTTTTGGGCTAAGACTATAGAAATTGCCAGCTTTCACAATATGGTCTAGACTCCATGAAGGACCAGATGTCCACAAAACAAGGCATAGAAGGGCATAGAGGGAAGATATGCAGGGCTGATGCGAAAGAGAAAAGCAGCCCCTGACATCCAGAATTGGCCTGGCGTTCACAGGTAGGCCTGGTGTTCTGTTGAATGTTGGGGTCCTTAAATGGACCAGAACCTTGTGGTACGGAGTCGACGATAAGAAAGTGAAAGAGAAAGAGGCTAATATCCCTTGGTTTACGCAGAGGACCAATAAAGCCCTTGACACAGGACTTGCATCGCTCACGAAGGCACCAGGCGCCCTCTCGAGGGGGTCTTAGGAGCCCGGGCAGAAAAGTGAGCACGACGGGTCTCCACGCTCCAGAGAGTCAGCCAGAAAAAGAGAGAGAGAGAGACAAAAAAAGACCCGGGGACCTAAGCTCTAATGGAACAAAGGTGCTTTAATGATTTTTGTATGAGTATATACAGGCTGCAGTACAAGAAACTTCTTTCGGGAATGATAGAGTTCAGCAAACCAAACAAACTGCAACGGTTACCAAGGGAACAAGGGGTAATGTTAGTCACAAGGTCAGGACACAATCATATCTCAAGAAAGGGGAAGGGGACTAAGCAGTTTTGTCCCAAAGAGAATGTTTACTAAAGGAGACCCAAGCCTGCCTCACACAATGACCTCAGTCCCTGGGAGCAGCGTGCTGTTCCGCTGGAAGAGGGACAGAGGACTCATGGGAGAGAGCACGTAGGCATCCTCCCATCAAACATTCCCCGACAGTTGAACATAATTTCTAGAACACCATCAGGCCCCACCGCTGGTGATCAGGATAGATCAAGATGAAAACAGGACCATTCCATAATCATCTCTGAACACACATGAGGGAGCATGAATATTGTCCATACCTTTACAGTAACCAAGCATTCCCTTATTCTGGCCAGAACTGGCTACCTCTTTACCAATTATACCTCTGGTTTTAACCCTCTTGCCTCATAGACAAGATTTATGAGGACATCCAATGGTAGAATTATCCCTACTTCCTTACTGCATTCAATCCAGAGCAAAGCCTTGTTTCCTTCCACACCCTCTTAAATCACTTAATCCTGTAAATCACTTAATCCTGTAACCAAGCCTTAATCCTGTAACCTCCTGAGGGCAGAGGGTCCTATCTTGCTTATTTCCCAGGCTTATTTCTAGTTTTGTTTTGTTTTTTCCCCTGGATCTTTCAATAATAACTTTATGTGCCCTGAGGCCAAGAGAACTCAGTAGTATTCAATCAGTAGGTTTCTGTATTCTTCACCTACAGAAAAAACCTCAGCTCCCAGCCTTAAAGATCTCCAAT